TAGTAGAACACTGTCTTGACCAAATTAAACTAGCCCGAATTCTCTGGACCTGACAACACAATCAAACGAAGGAAATTTCGATACGTTACAAACAATTACAGTCTGTAACAAACATATCAATTGAAATATTATCTTAGGATATGCAAAAGAAATGTACATATACGATGTAACAATTTTTTGTTCTTTGAATATGTTCCCCTTTTATCGTGTATGGATAATTTTAACTGGCAGTTAAAACAGGAAATTGCCAAGTGGTAACTGCACAATGCAAAATTAATAATAATAGTAGGAGGTTAACCTGGTATATTATATATATTTGGCGACAACAGTTTTGTCCATTTGATACATGTAATGAATGTCAGCAATATTTCCGTTATATCGCGATAGAAAACAACATTTGAACGTCGGATTGTAAAACCATCAAATGGCACGATAAAGTTTGTAACTCCCCGAGCTGCGGTTTTGCCAAATTTTAATCAAACAATCGAACGGGGCAGGAAGCGTCGATAAAAAAAAAAATATAAAAGAATAATTTGAAAGAGCACGTTCTATTCAATCACGTGTCCCGGGAACAACGAATCATTTATTCCGACATTTAAATGCTAAAAAATAAAATCACCTTTCGCCTTCGAATTCTCACGGTGCGCCGTAAATAAAATACAGAACTAAATGTAAAAAACATACGACGTTTAAAGACGACGAAAGAAGCGTTCTTATCTCACAGTCCTTTAATAAGAAATTTGATATCGAAAATAGTCTCGTATGTTGTTTGGAATAGTCGTTAACTATTTTTCATTCACTTTCATTTTCGATAACTTCTTCGTTGTCGTTCCTGTCTCCCGTCCATCAAAAGTGACTGGCGAAGATTAATGGAAAAGGCGAATGACGAGAAAAATAAGGACGCCGTTGGTGGCCGGAAAAATCGGATCGGCCTGCAGCTTCTACTCCAACACACGATCAATCTCTTTTTCCAGCTGCCTTGTAAATCGCTCTGCACTCGCTGACTTCCGCAAAGTCGATGCGCGGATCGGAAAAACATGGGATTCCTAACTCTCGTCAGAGATTTTCGCGTTGCTTGGAGAATATGCGAACCTCGAGTCGCTGCATTGCTGTACTACCATAAAGATCCAAGAATGCAAATTTTCTCATTTTCTCAAGGAAGATTATAAAATCTAAAAACAAGTCTCACGAGTAAACAAACCCGTATTAGAAATAATGGAGAAAATATTTATTCAATATCAATATATGGAACATATTGTAAGAATACATGTAAGATGGGAAGTACGTATTTCGTTAACCCAGACCTGAAAGTTTGGAAAACTGTGGTTACAATTTGATTTATATCGAAACTTTCCCGCCATTACAGAGCTGCCATTTATCAAGATTGGTGTTAACAAAAAATACAAAAATAAAACTTTCTCATTACGTTTAAAGGTGAAACCCTTCTTAATAACTTAGATAATTCAATAGAGGTTTATCTGGTATTATAAGTAATCATTTTGTACCTGGAAGCATGCGTTAATGAAAAATGAAATTCTCCGCGGTTAAGTCTGCTGCTAACTTTAATATCCTCCCCTGGCGTTAATTAGTCGTTAGGTACGCGACAAGCGAGGACAGGAATACGAATCATGGTCGTATATTGCAACCAAAATTCACGCAACGTATTCCAAACTGTTTCATGTCGATTCGCCCCGAAAATTGCCAAACACTCGCACGATACCTCGTGCGTGAATCTTTGATGCGCAGCACGCTGTTCGTTTGCGTTTCACGAGGGAGAGCAACTTCTTCGACAGTTCGATCCGACTGGTGCAAACGATCGTAGCCTTAAAAGTCGGGGAAAATATCGCCGGGAACAGCGCCGTGAACGTATACACAAACGGCTGTTCCTCTGCCATGGAAATAAATCAAAGGTATAAAGGAGTAAGATTTAAGGGAGCCAAGAATTCAGGCCTGGTTACTTTTTGGGTAACGGGTATCAGGCAACGGTGCTTTCAGGATTTAGTGAGTGTAATAAAAGGGGGTAAGTCGAAACGGCGTGCAATTCCAGGGGTGGAAATAGGAAAGGAAATTTAAGCCGCCGGTTACGCGAACTGCTATTACATTAAGTCATTGAAAATGTATGCTACGCGAGATGTTTGCTCGAAATAAGGTTGAGCCGATGCTGATAGCGATGCTTCATTACGCGGGGTTTTAAAGAAATTGGAAAAGTTTAGTTCAACTTCTCTAATAGGGGCTGTCGTGAAGAGAAAACTTTGTTTCTGACGCGAAAACTAAAACTTCGCCGGTAAATTAGGTAAATTTCATTCACTTCACGGCATTAAAAATTGTAATATCGAGAAATGAGTTGGAAAGGAATTTGTTCTACATTTGTTATGTCTTCGATGTATTTTTAATTGTAAATTTGTTTGCTCTTGAAAATCGATAAATAAGTATCGAGAGGAATGTTCTTTTTCTAGTCGATCAGAGTAGCAGCATAGATTTCGACGATTGAGAGGCAGGCTTGACTGACGTATGAATAGTTTTATACCGATGTAGAAATTGTTTCGCGACATTTGAAACTTCCTAATCGCATAATATTCACTGAATAGTTCGGTATAGCTGAAGCGTGTGCAAGAGTTGCCGAGTCACGTGTGGCTGTGAATCTCATTAAAGCGTTGAATTTTCAATACGATACGATTAAGTGTACGTCGGAAATACAGGAATTATACCGTAGAAAGAGCAGACTGCGGGAAAAGTGAAAATGATCGTCTAAACGTTTCGAAGACAGAAAAAAATATAAACAAATCGATCGGTGTAACCATTGAGCCTGCGCGCGATTGTAAAATATTGAACTTTTTAAAAGTTTTCAGTGCCGTTGGGGTTTATGTAAAATATAAAACTCGTGACGAAAATGCTGTATTTGTTGAAAACAAAGTTCGCAGTAACCGTATAGTTTCGTGTGCAAACCGTGAACTGAAACTCATAAATTCCTGTCCATTATCAAATAGCGTATGAAATAAATAAAAGAATGGGTTTTACATATGGGATTTGTATTTGTTCCGAAAGTACGCCGATAGCAAAGCCCTAGGATTACAACTGTATTCCATGGAGCGCAGCTTTCGGCATTATGGATAAAGGTAAATCACGTAGACAAAAATAGAAGGAAGAACTAAAATTAGCCGGTGATACCAAAGTAGTCGCTTTTTCATTTTCTCGGCGTCTTTTTGTGGGTTTCTCGTTCGCCTATTTAGAACATCGACGCATACCCCTTCGCCCTACTCTGCGAACTATAATCCTCTCATATCCAGAACAATAGGTCTATGTACAGTGGAACCTCGTTTATCCGAACACGTCGGGGGGGACAAGGCAGTTCAGATAACCGAGGTGGTCCGATAATAGAGGTTCAATGCTTATCCCTCCCACCGTGTTTTTAGTCATTCACATGATCGGGGCTGACGGTCGAATAACTGAGGTTCGAATGTTACGAATTGAATTGATAAAAACTAAATATATTTATTGTGAAGTAGACTTGATTCCCTGGCCTGGCTAAAATCTATTGCATTAATTCTCAATAAAAGTATTCGGTCGGACCTCAATCTTCCTCTCAAGATTTCCTCCACCACATTTTCAGTGCTCATTGTTACTCACCTCGAAATCCCCGATATTCTAATCATCGTCTCTCCATTATCCGCGTTTCGTTTAACCTTCCCCGGTGCGGCCTTCCGCTCCGATATCTTCGTTCGTCTCTAATTCTCCGTCTCACGAGGATAACGACGCTGTTGTCGAAGGTGAGAGGGCAAACAACCGAGCGTCCGGATCGTAGAAATCCGGATATATTCCACCTACAACAGTATCCGTGCTCGTTATCGACACGCTTGTTTAGCATGCATCCTGTGCCCGTGTCACCAGAACACCGTCGACAAACAACGGCTTCCCGATATCGTCGTCCGGATACGCGGAATCAGGTACGCAAGTTTTGCCGTGCATTGATACGAACCACGGCAGGTGGGTAAGGCAAGGTGGTAAAGAATCGAACGTGGACGCGCGAGTGTGCACGGGCGCACGCTTTATCCGCCGCATCGGAATGCGTGGCCGGTGCTCAATATTCCGCGTAGCTTTCGTTCCGTCTCCGTTCAATTCGTAGCTTAAAAAGGGAGGTATAAAAACAACGGAGAGAAAGAGGCGAGGAGAGAAACCAGGTTGATGGAGCTGCTTGCACTTGCAGCAGAAGACGCTGCTATAGAAGACGTACCGGTATGTGCATGTGGAAGACAAACGAGCGGGAAGAAGAGGGTTGCGGTGAGATGGAGAAGGACAAGTTTCTGGTGGAACCCCCAGGGACGATCAAGAACCTTGTTGGGCCCATGTCCGACGGGATCGAGCGGCGAGAAGGTCTCGAGTCACAAATACGGTCAGGCAGTACGGTGCTTCACAACTTTCTTGCATGATTCTACGGGGTTTGGAAAGTATTCTTTCGATCGAATTAACAATTAATCTCAAAGTAGCTTTTATTTTAAATTTTATTAAAACATTTTATTAAATGATCGAATCGAAGGAAATTGAATACGTGGAGGTAACGTAAAACAATTTGCATGGCTGAATGAAGGCTTCCTCTAAATACCCCGTAGCTAGGGGAAGAGATTAGGTCTTTAAGGAATTAGATTCGTGCCAAGAGCGGCTAACGGTTAGATTCTAACGGGTACACTCGTAAGATACGGTTAGACGACACTGGTACCCTTCTCGACCTTTCACGCTAACCATGCGTCTCTCTTTCTGTTCCATGAAACGGATGCATAACACAAAAGAGAAAGAGAAGTACACGGCCAAGCGGTTGCCGAGTGACTGAACGTCGCTGCGGGTGGCGTGGGACGAGCGGGGTTGCGAGTTTGGTCGGCGGGAGAAGCCGACCGGCGGGTGGGGATAGGCGAGGGGAACGGTGAGAAGCGATCGGCCGTGGGAGGGGGAAGATTGGAGCGTCGTAAACGGACGGCGGGGCAGACCGTCAGTCAGCCGTGCTACGCTGTAGGGATGAGACTGAAACGAGGAACGACGTCGCACGATCCGATATTCGCGCGACGACGGTGACACGGTATATAGACTGCATGCGGCTCGCAACGATACACGTAACGCGTCAGGACTTTTGAATTCGCTTTCCCGTCGAGTAATCGTGACGTTAAAGTTTGGCGGCACGAGAGGCGTGTTTCCCAGGCTGTGCAACTGTGCGGTGCTATTCCCGTTTCTCCATCTTCCGCATTCCTCGCTCCGATTGGAGTATCTTTCTTCGTGTACGAGCGTGTATCGACGGTTCTGGGATTATTGCGCGCAGACGGATCTGTTTGCCAGAAGAAAAGCCGGAGGCAGCGTCAGAAATCGTGAGTGAATATTCTATTAATAAGCAGTTTGGGCGAGCGTTGAGTGTGTGGATTTTGTTATCGTCGATTCTCGCGACTTGTCAAGACGCGTCTGTGCGTGACTTCTCCTTTCGCTATCGAGACGCGTGCTCGGAAACCCGTTACCTTGAGATGGCTTCGCGAACCGAGTTTACAATGGACACTGGCGACGCGCGAATATTCATGGTGCTGTTTCGTCGCGTCCGTTCTTTTTCGACGATACGCGATCGCGTCTTGACAGTTTTGCAACGCGAATGCTGTTCGCCGGTGTATCGGCAACGAACGTGTTCTGCCCACGTGTAGTCGTGCCTCGTTCCTAACCTATCTGCATTCTTGCCCGATTCCGTGAACTCGGGACTAGTAACCGAAACAGTTCTTGTATCGGTTATTAGTTTTAGCAGGTTACGTACTAGTTAGATACAAAGAATTCCGATACAATTGTTGCTTCGTACGATATATAATTTTGAAGTAAAAACAAACATGATGCAACTTAAACGTGAACTTAATGCGTAACGATACGAAATTCTATCGCGTATACGCATTAGCAACCAAGTAGGAGCTCTGTAACCAACACCGGTATGTATACCTATAATTATGACGCAATAAGCGAACGTTTATACTTTCGTTTCTATATTAAGAAATACTTTTGAGTACTCATATTTTGTGGTTACGTTTCAAACACCTGTTTAACAATCAGTTCCGTCTTACTCGAACGTCAGAGTACCTGATTCGATTCAATGTGAATTTCTATCTACTTGAATTATGCGAATGTTAGGTTCGTGTCTCGTAACATTCGATAATCTCAATGATTACGGGTTAGGATCGTGATCGGGAGGGGTTTGTTTACGTTTTTTTTGTCTCGGCGAAAGGTGAAACGTGTTTCCTTAGAATATTCTACGTCTCGTCTACAAAGATAAGCATTCGATGCCGTTTTTATCGAAACTGGGACCGTTCCAGCGGCCATATTTGACTTGTAAATGATATTCGAACGTTACGTACGGGCGATAAGTTTCTCGATCGCGTGGTTCGATACCATCGTTCCGATAATCCGAACGAAGCGGCGCTGCGCGACGAAATGCGGAACGTTACAGCGTCAATCGCGAATCGTGTGTCAGCCGTTTGTATTTCCTTGTCGAACGACAACTTTTCAAATTCTAAGATCGTGACTGCTGGAATTGCACGTGCAATATCTAGCGTGCTATCCGAACGAGTACGCGAGTCGCACAAGCCGGTTTTCTGCGCGCCTCGTTTTCTTGTTGCGCGAACCATACTGGCGTGAACTTCATGGCAGTCCGTGACCCCGAGTGTTTCCTGTTACGAGAAAGGCCTTTGCGTGGCTCGGTTCGTTGCCATTCCTTTTGTCCGCGTTAATGACCATTGTGTAATCAGAATCATTTAGCAAAAATTCAACCGTCTACGAACATTCAAGGTATTTATTTCGTTATTCTCCAACGTTGACTTCTTATTAATTTGTATTATGTAGATGTGCGTGATGAATTTTCGTTACAATTTTAATGAAACAGAGTCGCAACATATAAGTAGCCCGAATTACAGACGAGTAATTTCTTTAATTGTACAACGTTAACTTGGTATTTCTGAAATCTGACAAAGGAAAATTGTGGGGGACCTCTTAGAGTAGAAATATTCTTAATTTTTATTAAGAATAACAATTGGACTATTGTACGAAGAACGTTCATTTGTATAACATACTACGCATTAACGCTTTGTCTGAATTCTGATGCTAGAATTATACACTCACAATTACGTGGTAATTGGTATATCAACACGAACCTACAGGAGGGCAGCACCTGCCGGCTCATATTTAAATGAATACACTCAACAACTTTTTCGTATAATTTAAATCCTTTTTAAAAGTAATAAAGAATAATGCATTTTACTATATTCCTGATCTGTAATGAGATAGATATGGGTATTTATCTGAAAGCTAAGCAACAAGAATTTTGTTCATACTATTTGTTCGAATATGGAAATTCGAGTATGGGGCTAATCGCGACATCTGTTGTCATACAATAGACATTGTATTGGTGTCATCTAAGCTTTATAAAAGTGCACGTTGCCGCCCTCTCTGTGCAGTCGTGTGAATATACAATTGTGATTTCGTCAATTATTATTTCACCAACCAACACTATTGGCAATTATTATTATACACGGTGTTCGGCCACCCCTGGGAAAAATTTTAATGGGAGATTTTAGAGGCCAAAATAAGACGAAAATCAAGAATACTAATTTGTTGATGGAAGCTTCGTTAAAAAGTTATTAAAAAATTAAATTAAAGAATCTCAAATCGTTCTGGAAAAATTATTTTTGGTTGCGAGGGTCAATTACAATTATTTTTGGTGAATAGACATAACCCAAAAATCCTGCGCATTTTCGAGAAAAAAATTCAATACGGCCGCAGCTTTAAACGTTAATAATTTCTTAACGAAGCCTCCATCAGCAAATTAGTATTCTTAATTTTCGTCTTATTTTGGGCTTTAGAATCTCCCATTAAAATTTTCGTAACGTTTCAAGCAATAATAGGCGAATAATATTGATTGATCTTTATCAAAATATCGAAACATAATTACTTTATTGAAAATATTCTTTATTTTATGAATAAAAGAACAAAGATACTGTAGTCGAAAGCTTTAAAAATAGAAATATTCGTAGAATTTAATTTTGTTAACAATTTGTGTTCATTAAATTTAGTTTGTACTTGCATCCAATGACAAATTAGTAATCAAGCTTTACCTTATAATTTAATTCTACAAGTACAACATTTTATGAAAAATTTCATGATTCCTCGGTAAGATACAAATTTAATTTGTTTCACACGGAACAAACGCAAAGAAAATTTACATTTTATCGCGGTTTGTCGCGCGTAATATACATACCTTTTTAAAAATAAGCGATGATATAAGTTAATAACAGTCTATAGCAGGTATTGTAACTTTCATAAGAATATTATTCGAATATTCGTTTAATTAATATTTCACGGCATAAACACCGCTGTTTTACGTATTTTCAAGGAACAATTTACAGGCGAATACAGTCGACTGCTCATTATACGCAGTTGTTATTATCTGCACTCCCAAATTTACAAGCGAAAAGATAAATTTAATCTTACAGTTGGTAATTTGTATATTCCGATTACATGTCGGGGAATGTTTGAGTTACAAAAAATGCAAGCCTGGAGATAATGTTAGTCGAAACTCCGGTGCGCCTCACAGGTATTCTTGGACGGTAAAAGGTCCAGCCTAATGGTCGGTCTCTCTCAGCCCGTCCAAAGCGAATGTAGCTTATAATTTCACGTTATTAGGGACGGAGAGCATTGGAAGACAAATTTTGTACGGTTCCGACCCAGTTAGACCGTCGCTCGTTCCTTTTCCAGTTCAAAGGAAATTGCTTTTCATGGATTTTTTTTTTATACCTGCAGCTGTACCTTGGTATTCTTGTCGCGCCGGTTAGGAAACATTCGACGATCCGCGCAGACCGTGCGTACAGAATTCGTCCTCTTTGGAAGGAACTCGGGCACATGCCGACCAGGTAGATAGATCGTGGGGGCCAAAGGTCGGTGGTTATTACCTGCTAAGAGGTACGGCCTCATTCGTTTTCATTTGGCCCGTGTGTACACGCCCAGCGTCCATATTCGTTGCCAAGGCGATAATTAATTCGTTGAACGGTTCGCTCCGCGAATCGAAAGGGTTTCGTGCGTTCTTTTGTTCCGAAATTACGACACGTTCAGGGAAATAAAAGGTTCGTCGATCGAAGGGCCAGAAGCTTTAAAGAGAGGCCGTCGTTTGGCTTAAATTTAATTCACTTCTCTGACGCTGTCTCCCTCCTCCGTCGTCTCTTCGTTCTCGTTCGCTCTTTATCAACGGAGCACCGAGCACGGAAGTAGAAGAGGAAGACCGCAGAATGCAATTTCCTCGAGGCATGAAGTAGATGTTCCAGTGGACTGCAATGGTACGGCATAGGTCAACCAATGCGTCGCAGGACCCTTTTTACGAAAATCTGCACACCTCGGGGTGTCCTTTGAAGCTCGGGACAACGTCAGGATGCCTTCGCCGGTTCTAACTTACAGCGCGGTAATTTTCATAATTCTTGCGCGGGTAGAAGCCGAGCTTAAAGACTATAAGGAAGTACAAGAGGGAGACGTTAATTTAAATTTCTCCAGGCTTTCGTGAGAGTTCTGCTACTTCCGGATTCCAGCGCTGGTTAAAAGGTCTTACTGTTGCAGGAACATGATTTCTTTAGAATTGACGATTACCGTAAAATCTCGAATATAATGCGCGCATGTGTTTAATACGCATGCTTGTTTTAGCGTGAAAGTTTCTGGGTAAAATGGTAATCCGCGTATGGTGAAACCTCATTTATCCGAACAGGTCGAGAGACAGGTTCGGATTACCGAGCAATTCCGATAATTCAGGTTCAATAGTTATTTCCTCGTCCTCTATTTATTAAGTCGGATTATAGACGCTGATCACCAGCCTTTTTTTTAGTATCCATATTGCAATGACCATTGGAAACTCTCCGAATGAATCCTTAATCCAACTCTGAGTAATTAGAAACATCAATTGTACGCACTATGAGGAACTGTAATTATCAGGGAATATTCACTAAATACATATTCAGAGTAGGCGTTTATTTGTTCGAACTCTGATGCAGTTTGGAATTGAACATAAATTTTATTCTATATTTCTATCATTCTTGAAACTTGAATTTATTTCCTATTTTCTTATTTTTATGAACACGCGGTAAATACAGAAAAAACGTTCTGTTTTTTAGTTCTCGATATTAATGAACGCAGAAAAGCTATGATAATACACTCCGTGAAACATTTTTAGAAAATAATAGGCATCTCTCTCGACTAGCCATCTGTATCGAAAATACCTAAGCTGTTTCGTAAATAAAAATGCTACAACCGTGTTCGTGTTTCGCATTTATATGTTTAAAACTGACTTTTGAAATTTACTGGTTTGAACGAACGAATATCGCGGGCGCAATTTCACTTGATCGTGGCGAAAACGTTTTATCGAATTGTAACCGCGCAAACCGCAGCTTGAAAATGGAATTCTTTTTCATGAAACGCAGTGACCTTTAAAATGCATCGATAATAAGAATCGGCAGACGTTTTCATTCTATTCTTCGAACCCGTAGAATTGCAAAGAACATTCTCTCGAAACGCTACAAGTATCGAGACTAAAATAATGCACATATACAAAAAGAATTAGTAGCAAACGAGAGAGATAAATTTCATTCACTGGGAGACAAAACTGAAATATCGTGTAATCCACGTGAAATTAATTGAGGATTTGATTCATCATTTTGCTATTTTTAAATATTTAAAAAAAACAGGGTTGACTGGTATTAATCACTGGTACAATTTGGTGAAATAAAAGCACAATATTAATTATGTTTTGTAGATTTCAAAATAGTCTTTCGAATAATCTTTCAGAATGAAGTGCTATTTCCACTTATACGATAGTTTGGTTGTTTCAATTTCGTGTACATTAATAAACAAGAAAAAAACACAGATTTCCTTAGTAAATTTCTCGTAGGAAGGAAATCAGGTCGCGTTATACGCTGAATGCAATTTTCCCGTTATGCAATGTTACTATCCCCACAGGTATCTATCCTGTTTCTTTCATTTGAAAATCCGACTCGTTCGAGCACTCTTCAACTATGAAAAGATGATGCAAGTTGCGTGACCGCAGCTGTTTGAAACGTGGAACTTCAAAACCAATGAAATACCGCGTCGACGTGTGTATTATTCAAAATGTATGATATTTCGTATCGTTCTCCATAATCTCAGAAGATTGTAGAAAACGTGTGATTAAGTCTGATGTCACATGTAAAATTATCTAAATTACAATGTTTGTTTTCGTGTGTTTCCTTTGTTATTTTCATTTAAAATTCTGAGCTAGGTATACAAGAAGGCTCCGGTAATGTTTAAAATCGATTTTTTTATAAATTCTATATTTTCGGCTTATTTCTTTACGTAGAATCGCCCTCTTCTTCGATTGTTCCATCAGTTACCTTGTATAAATTGTTATTATTACTATCGAGCATGTAGTAGAGGCCGAAAAACGTAGAAGAGAAAGTTGAACGGCATAAGAAGTATACAAACAATGTATATGTACCAATTTGGGATTACCAGGGCCATTAATTTCTGTGAAAGTTGCATTTGAAGGAACCGTTGGCGTAAATTCGCGTTCGCGTAAAATATTACTTCGTTAGTCGCGTTCTTTACAAGAAAATACAGTTAACGATCGTTTCCAATCCCCTCGAGAGAAATGAATTTTAATATCTTTCGTCGCGACTCGATGCCAACTTAATTGTCGTACCGGCGTATCTGTAACCATTCGGAATTTCGATAATCAATCAACCCCCTACTTTTAGTCGTTTGCTCTCGAGTCTATCAGAATGTTTGATCTGCAATTCTTGGAATGGTTTTCAGATTGCAACTCGGATACCAGGTGGCCGAAGATGAACCAAGGGTGAAGTACCAAGAGAGGCGCGTCATCGACAAATTTTTCTAGGCGCCCCGAGCTTTCCCGGAGGATGCAACGATCGATTACGCGGTATCGACCGAGTATCGGTCGATAGATACGTGCCTCGACGTCGGTCGAATGGCTGGCCAAGCGTTCGGTTCTCGTTGTCCGAGTACTGTCTTCTCGCGGTGCCGGATGATACACGAATAAGCATGTTTTCTGCACAGTGAGCCAACAACGCTCTCGTCTACCCGTGGACTCGTTGATCCGTTTCCAGCTGCTTGTTATCAAATCCCGGTAGTGTACGGTTGGAGTGAGTCATCCCGACGTCTTCGCGGAGTTCCTCCCACTCGTCGATCGTACCACCCACCCGTATCGCGAACACCGCGCGATACGAGGAACGACGGGCGACTTAGAAACGCGTCGAGCGTAGTTTTTAAGAAGTTTCGCGGAAGGTGGATCCAGAGTCGCGGTTAGCGAACGTCGATCGGATGTAAAACGGATGAAGGCAACGCTTCGAGTGGTGGGTCGGTTCCGCGAACGTTGTCCTTGATCGAAAGGCCCCGGGTCAGCCACGTGCACCGTGTACACGTCCGCGATTATTGGTATCATGAGTATCGCGTCGACTTCCCCACCAACAACGGCCACATGACTTGACGATCGCCCCCACCCACCGCTGTTCGTCGTTGAGTGAAGGCGGCGACAGTGGCAGTGACGTCACATAGGGAACGACGAGCACGACGACGACGACGACGGCGGCGACGACGACGACGACAAACGACGACGACGACACCGACGACGACGACGAGGACGTGGACGAGGAAAGAAGAGCAGATAGTAGTCAACGGCTGTACTGTGGAAGGTACTTAACGAGTGACATACGCCGCTGGTGGTTCAGTCGGCGGCAGTCAGTCAGTAGGTGCGAGGTGTCCGTTACTGTATTTTGCCTTTTCTTATTACGAGCGTTTCGGCGCGTTAGGTTTATCTCTGCCGTGTGAATACCGCGGGTGTGTGCTGGTGCCGTTGTTCGTTGTCGTTGTTCTTGTTATCTTCGTCGCCTCCTCCGCCGATCGCGGTGGCGGTTTTGGCGGATAGTGGTGGATCACAGTGTTGAGTGTGAAACTGGAGCCGTTAGTGGTAGCAGTCGATGGGAAGAGCTATCATGTGCCCGCAGAGGATTTTTGAACTGGCGATCGTCGCGCTGGTGACTCTAGGTGGACGGGTGACGGCGTACACGAATCAGTGGGCGGTGCACATCGAGGGAGGACCGGAAGAGGCCCAGCAGGTCGCACAGCAGCATGGCTTTCAGTATTTGGATAAGGTAAGGACATTTTTTTTACTTTCATTTCAACCGTTTTCCATAGATTGAACGACTCTTGTTACGGATAATTAAATTTTGAAAGTAAATACAGTTTGTATATAGTTATCAAAACATAATTATATTTAAATGCAGCTTTCCGTAGAACTTGATGAAACGTCGATAAAATTGCTGACGATCTTTTTAGTTCAAATATATGGAAAATGAACTATTTCTTCGATAATGTCGTTGCGTAACCGAGTGTTATTATTGTTCAAAAAAATTTGTAACGCGTGTTATCCAATCATCCTCTTTCAGGCATGAGAATTTTTGAATTATTACCAGGTGTAAATAAATTATTAATAAGGCTTTATCGTTGATGGGCATTTAAAGAACATATAAAGATAAAATTCACTTTTTATAAAAAGCTGTTAAGATATTTGTTGCAAAAAGCCATTTCAAATGTATTTCAATACCATTTATGCAAAGTTGTATAATTATAACCACTTAACTGATTGTAATTGTTAATCGTGGAACTAATAACTTTAGCCAAGGTATTTCACCTATATCTTTTTTGTACTCTTACGAATATTTAAAATAGTTTCGAAAAAAGGGATTCAAAATGTATTATTGTTCAAAAACAATATTTAAAAATTATTAAATTATTTATTGTGTAACACTGAATTTGACTTTACTTTAGTTACCAGTTGATCAATGAAAAATTAATAACATTCAATTTTGCCCTCCTTTCAAGATCATATATTATTTATTTGAATCAATTCCCAATAAAGTTGTTACAGTGTTATTGAAATGGTTCTAATTACGTGCCTCACCTTGTATAAAATGATTCAGTACATACTCAAATGGTATAATACTCGATACATTTGTTTTTGAACACAGTATTTGATAGAAATTGACACAAAAAACGAAAGGAAAGGTGCTCTAATTTGCATGGCGGATCTTATTTCCTAGTCCGTTATGCCCACTTATCTGTACTCTTCATATTGCCTCGCTTCATTTACAGCCTTACTGTATCTTTCGACGAATATAAACGACTGAACGTTTTAAGGTTTACAAGTTAGGCAAGTTGTGTGAAGAAGTTGTTAGCATGTTTTAGAAACACGTACAAATAATGTGGCATATTCTGTTCCGTTTCTTTGTTGCTACTTTTTTATTAAAACGAACCATTGAACAATCAATAAAATATAGCCAACATATAGCACTTTATTCGTAACGTTTAAGCGAGAAATAGTTAAAATTTGATCTGTTCGTTGTGAAATATTTCATTTTTATTTAACGTTTAACGGATAGTCGCTTATCATTTATTCTTTATGCAACCTTTATGTTTAGAAAAGAATGTTTTTAATCTCTGTTATGTGTATACTATATGAATATGTATGCAATATAAAATAACGCATGCTAATGATTGCTCAAAGTGGAAGTTGATATTTCCCAGGAAATTAGTTATGCATTACACGTTGGCTAGCTTATCATGGAATATTCTTCTTTGTGCGTAATTTGTTATGAAATTCAGTAGAGCAACTATTATTCGAATACCGTATAATCAAACGTTACAATATCCGATTAGTGTCATTTAAAGGAATTGTGACGAAAATAATGAAAGAAATCCTCTTTAATTTATATGAATAATCAGAGGCACAAATTTGTACATGTCGTTGATTGCACCCCAGCCTAAGCTATCATTTCAGAAAATGTTTGCAACATCAAAACGTTGATTCCTCAACATCTTAGCGAGTTTTTTCTTTTAGCGTGTGTTATATTCTTTGCTTATAAGTTCATTTAAAAGTAATATTAATACCGTAAAAATCTTCTTATACCAAAAAATGAGTCGATTGAGTTTAGATTGTTGAAATTAGAGTCAATCCATTGTTAAAAGAAATGTATTATTCGTACATCCTGTTCCTGGACTAGTTCGTATAATCGAGGCTCTATCGCGCTGGTTTAAAATTCGATGGAAAATCATTTGCAAGTAAAGAAGTGCAAAGAATTTAAAATATCTGGTAAAGGTTAGGGCTGAACGCTGCACGTTTAACCCAAATTACGTGATGCGACTTCGCGACTAGATCGTTTACCAGTTTCGACGCCATCTTCGGGTTCATTAATTTTATAAAACCTGTAGAAACAGCTCTTCTAAACTCGATAATACAAATTACTTCGTTCGCCATTAATAGCAATAAGCAGGCTCGTTTTCCCTAACAGGAAAAACACAGTAGACTGTTTCTTTTTAATTATCGTTCTTCTTTCATCGAGAGTATTTAAAAAAAAATTAAAACACGTTGTTATGTATAAACATTTCTGAATCAAGAGAACAAACTTTGCCAGCAAATAAGGAAAAGAGGAGCAAAAACGTTCTTCGTGGAATTTTTGGCCGATAACAAAATTGCTGTATCGACGAGAGACGAATGAAAATATCCTTGCATGTGTATTCGTCGCAACAGGCAATCGTTTCTGCCGCACAAGCAAATATACGGTTGCGTTAAATCCACCTTTTAGTTTCATAGTTCTGTAACGTTTCAGTCGGACTTATCCGTACGTAGAGCTTATCGTTTTGAAATCGTACGTCGGGATGACTCTTATTCCGATCACAGATAAATTCCTTGGAGTGCAGGATCGGCCTTGATATCACGACTGGAAATCTTTTCGTGGTTTCGCGATCAAAGTGAGACATTCTTGAGGAGCGGAGCTCAATCATGTCAGGCTCATCCTTTCCTACGACGTGTAATATCGCTCGGTTAGACTCACATATGGTGCAGAATGTATTCTTCGTTTCTCTAAAAAGGAATAGTAATTTCCTTGACACAGTTTACGAGCTATTTCATTATTATCGTCAAATTTCCAATCGATCTTTAGATGCAATAATATTGGTAAATACTGTGCCAGAATTATTGATCTCTTGTTGGCATATTTTCAGAAATTAATTTGGGGATGATGGTTCTTAAAAGCACTTGTTGAAATTCATTCAATTTTAATAGTTTCCTCATGTGGAATTTTTCATGATATTTATATTCACAACGTATATCGTCGCGAGATTCCCAACGTCAAGGTGAGAACGTAAAATTATCTCGGGATATTTAATAAAAATCCCACCCTATTTCGAGGCAATTTTTATCTCAATGAGATAGCATGGGAACTGGGTCACACTTTAACTACTTTTTTTTATTACTCGCGGTGGAATCATCGTTCGATTAACGATCAAAATTGTTATGTAACGTCAATGTTGCATCTTTCCTCCTTGGTAGTTGTGAGTTATACGAGTTCTACGAATTACATTGACGAAAGTATTTATATCCTTTTAGTCAGTGGCCGTGAATATCGTTCCGACTACATATGTACTTCGCATCACTGTCGACGGCGGAAATTAACCTTCGAACGAATCTCCTTTCTGCCTAAATAGTTTTCGTTGCGACTCGCCCCTATCTTCCCTTTCCGCGTCAGTTCCCGTTCAATCGTGAAAACAGAATGAAACACAATCCAGCGAAATGAAACTTCCAGTGAGACGAAGTTTCAACAAGCATTTAAATTCTTCGAACCCAGTCCTGTCCAGAGTTGTTCCTTGAAGTAAAGCAGCATCCCCCTTTCAGACTCCGGTTTCAAATACACGAACACTATAAACGGGATCAATTGACCACCATAAAGCCTGGCTGGCCGTCTATCTCTCGTCTTAGCACGAAAACACACTGGTACATCAACTTTTTTGCGTACAATTTTCCTCTCCTAAGCGATTGAATATATGTATTAGACGTAGATATTATAAGCGTTTAAAAAATGTCTAGGGAAAACAATATAATAGAGTTCGAAAGGTCAGATAAGTGTTAAGAAGGAAACTGGGTATAGCAATTGAGAAATTGCGAGGAAACTTGATCGTTCTTTATGAGTCGTTAACTATATAGTAGATAATTCAGAAGAATATGGTACTAAAAAATCAAGTGGTCGTCTATTAGAGTTAACACCGTAAATGAGACGACAGAGAATACGGCATTGAATTCAACAAAATTTAGCGATTATATAAAAGGAAAATTGAAGTTAAACGTTACATCACGGACAGTTAGATTTGTTTTAAAGAAATATTTTCGGAAGGTCTTCGAACAAAATTTTATATTTATATTTACTGTTTCAAGCTATAGAGTTCCGAGTTGAATTAAATTATGTGGCAGGCCTCCCATATTACTGTAAATTTAATTTCGTTTGTTTGCTTGCATAGTTGAATGACCCGGGTGATAAAATCTGTTTACTCATTTTTGCTAATATAAGCATACTCGCCGCGTATGTGCACTGTGTGCGTTCGCAGTTTGTTCGCCTATCTCGTGTACAGCTACGTTTTCAAGAGCAATTTGCGTCGCCTTAAATATCCAGCAGGTGGTTCATTCCGAGTAAGAATTTAAAGTAAACAAATGATGCGAGATTCTAGACAAGACGAAATTAAAACATTTTTACCGGTGAATTATGTAGTGGGAAAAAGTGGTACAGGTGTAAAATTTTAATCTCAGGAGATTACGGACGAAGTAAAACTATAATAGAAATATTGGTATGCTTCCAAACATTAAAACAAAATACTCTTTTTTAAATCTCTTCCTTTACTTATGTTTTTGCACGTGAATTTTTTCATTCGTACCATTTTTATAATTGCGAAAGGTTAGTACAAGTAGATTTCAAATATTATTTTATCAAAAACGTTTCAAAAAGCATACTAAGTATTAATTGTCAGTAACGTGAATGTTTCTTTAACGTCAGAATTTATTCATGTTTTTAAAGACCATAGAAACACTCTTTGTGATAGCGTAGACAGTTTTACATCATTAATATTGTTTTGTTTTATCACTAATGAGGATACTGCAAGTATGTCGTTACTTTACATTAGTTTACATTTGGGGGGAAAAATGTACGTGGTAACTGGAATTTCTAAGAACATATTTTCTTGACGGATGTTGTTCTGTTTGTGTCGTAACGTTCGTGAAACGCAAAACATGCAAGAATTTTATTACAAATTCCCCCGTTTCTTTCGC